GCCTCCTCTATCAGGACACAGCTAGGAAACCCTCTCCCCACAGCCTTCAAACTGTTGAGTCCCCATGGCCGATGACTGGAGCCTGCCTCTGCCCAAACTCCCGGATCACTGGGCTGATGACTAAGCTCCCCAGACCCAGTTTCCCCAGATGAACCCTATCACTGGTCCATGCCAGTCAGAGGCCTCAGTTGCCTCATCTTCGAGTCTTCCTAGTGTGCAATGCTCAGGGAGGGCTTTCCCGAAGTTCCCTGGTCCAGCCTCACAGGAGTGGCGTGGGACACCACAGCCCAGGGCAACTGAGATGGGAACACACCTGTTTGGGAGTCAGGGAAAGCTTCTGGAAGGAGGTGATCCTGGGGTGACAGCTGCAGCCCTTTGAGGTGGGCCCAGGAGGAGCCCAGGAACACACAGGGCTTACAATGGAGATGAGAATGGGTCTGGAAGGGGCCACCAGGAGGAGCAATCATCTACCTAGGAGCCTCCCAGGTTCCCTGAGATGCATCTTCCCTGGGTGCCACCCTAAGAGGCCTCTTCCAACTCTCTGCACCCACGAGTTCACTTCCACCAGGACACAAGTCACAGAGAAAACTCCTCTGCCTCATCAGAACCTTATCATCATCATCGGCCCAAGGCAGCCCCATCTGTCCTCAGCAAGCCCCTTGTCACAGAGTCGCTGTGTCAGCCCACAGAAAGCCCTCTGCCAGCATTAATACATCAGCAGGATGAGATGATAATTAAACAAAAACGGACACTCAGGGTCATATGCATCTCATCACCATTGCCACCATCAGCACCATAATCACTGTCTCCATTGTCAACATCATAACCATCTCATCACTAACACCCCCATCATCAGTATCACCATCACCATCAGACTAGCATCATTAATACCATCATTACCCTCACCTTCACCATCACCATCACCACCACCCTCACCAATGTCATCTTCATTACCATCACCATAACCTTCATCTAAATCAACACCGCCATATTTTCCAGGCGGTTGTGGCACAAGCCTTTAATCACAGCACTCGGGAGGCAGAGGCAGAGGCAGGCAGATCTCTCTGAGTTCAAGGCCAGCTGGTTGACAGAGCAAATTCCAGGACAGCCAGGAAACCCTGTCTCATAAAAACCCAGTATATATGTACATGTATATACATGCATAGACATCACCCTGTCTACCATTATCAATATCACCAATATTCATCATCAATATCACTACGAACAACAGCATCACCCTTGGTAGAGCATGTATGCAGCTCAGTAGTGCAGCATTTTTTAATGTGGCTTGTGCAAGGCCCTAGGTTTGGTTCTCAGCACTGCAAAAAGATAAAAATAAAAATAAAAATCACCACCTCATCATCACCTGATAGTCCTTCTACCATCCCCACAGCAACAGCAGCTAATGCCTGTTAACAGCAGCTAATACCACATTCTGCTATGTACTAGGTTATGCTATGATGCTTTAAATGCATCGACGCTTTAAACCCTTGCCTTCTACAGAGCAGCTGCTAGAATGGTGCTCATTGAACAGACAGAGGTCGAGTGACTTGCCCAGATACACAGGCTGCATGTGAATCCCAGCAATCTGGCTCAGCGTCTATTCTTTAATGATTGCTCAGTTGAACAAGGACCATTCAGAACATGACAGACAGCAGTGGCCACAGCAGACACACAGCAATGGGCCCACCACACCTGGGCTCTCCTCCCAATCCTGGCAAGGCCCTTCTCTCTCAGGTCTCCCGTGGACCATGTAAACCAGGAAATGAACATCTGGGTGGTCTCTGAGCTCCCCGAGGCCACCCTGAATGTGGCCTGTCAGCCCCTCCAGATGTGTCTACAGTCTTCTGGGGGTAGCCATCTTAGGGAATCTGATGGCTCCTGTGCTAATAGTCCAGCAGGCTGTGCAGTGCCAACCACTGCCTGTGTGTGTGTCTCCAGGAGTCAAGGCACCTAAGACAAGGAGGCTGGGTCCACCCAGGCCACAGGCCAGCCAGCATTCTCTGTGCGTTAAGATTGTCACTGATAAACAACTTCAGCCGATAGGTGCCACCATGGGCATGGTTCAAGGTACCATGAGCACCTCCTGCAAGATGTGTGGCACTGAAGGACTTTGCCGTTGACAATCCCCTCTGCAGCTACTCTGACGGCACATGGTGGCGGTAACACACTCACCCATGTGTTAGAATCATGGGAGCTAGGCAAGGCAGGCAGCTTCACACACTGGTCCGGTCTTCAAGATGAGTGGGGAACAGTTAGGGCTCACAGAGACAACTGAGATTTGCTGAGGGTAAATCAGTGCCCTGTGCTCATGACAGACAGAGGTGCGCTGCAACCAAGGCTCCTGGCAGAGCCAGGATAAACAGAGCCAGGCTGTTCCCTGCTCCCTTCTCACATGTCACAGGGTTAAGATGTCACCATCACAGAAAAGACCCTCCTGGCAATTCCCACAATCCCCACTTCCCACCACTCTCCATTCACTGGGGTCTTACAAATTGCTCATCTGAACTCCAGTCTGAGCTGGGGAGGGGGCTCAGACTATGCCTATTCCACAGGCCCTGTCTGTCCCCAGAGCTGCGAGCAGAATGACAGACTTTGTAAGTGAGGTACTCCCAAGTTCCTGGGGGCTCGAGAGAGATGGCCCTGACACCCAGTCCTCAGTAAACAAGGTCAGGGGGAGCAAGACATGACATTAGAAGCCAGAGGCAGAAAAGCAATGATGGGGGCAGCTGAGAGGCTTCTGGGAGCATAATGGAAACTTAATGCAGGTGTGTGTGTGTGTGTGTGTGTGTGTGTGTGTGTGTGTGTGTGTTCCCATAAGGTATTCCAGCTTCCTTCTGGGGCAGAGGTGGGCAAAAGGTTCACAGAGCCAGGCTTTTGGGCTCAGTTGTAGAGAATTACCTCACTCACAGGGAGCCCTGGGTTTGATTCCTAGCATTCTATCAAACAGGTTTGGTGTTACACACCTATAATCATCTCTAATCACAGAGAGAGGCGCAGCTTCCTTAGTTCAAGATCAGCCTCAACTACACAACAAGTTCAAGAGCAGCCTGGATTACATGAGATTCTTTCTCAAAGTGAACTAAATAGGTCTCAATCCCAGGACTCCAAGAGTATATGAAGTTTAAGCTGAGCTCTGAAGGGCTTCAGAGAAACAGGTAGGAGATGATGTGAGCTGAGGGCAGGGACAGCAGGAGCTGGGCTTTGAGGACAGGCTAGCTCAGTAGCTTCAGCTCAAAGGGTTGGGCCTACCATGGCCCTCCCTTGCTGGAACACTGGGTCTCAAGGACAACGAGAGGGTCACAAGTTATACACATGCCTTCAGTGGCTGCCTGGACCACTGAGCTACCTGCCCTCAAGACCCTGCCAGCAACCAGGCCAGACCAATCCATCCAGCTTCTTGCACATGACCTGCTCTCTCTACCTGCTGCCTGGCCACTTCCCAGCGGTCTGTGGGTCACACCAGCTTCCCCTCGCAGCTCTGGGGGACCGAGGTGCTGACACTAAGCAGGACCCAGGGAGATGCCATCGGCTCGGTTCTCAGTCTGTAGAAGCTGACTGAAAGCAGTGGGTCAGTGATGACAACATTCCCAGGGGCGCTGGGCAGCTGTAAGGCTGCAACTCTGTAGAGCCTGGTCGGAAGGGGCAGAACCTCATCCTGTTTTCCTGCTACTCTTGCCCAGTGCAACCCCACACTGAAAACTGAACATGAGAGTTGCTGAGGGAGGATCAGGAAACCTGGGTTTTAGTTCTGTCTGCATCGCCATAAAACTTGGAAACCCTGTAATCAATGCTTGCCTTAGTTGATTTTCCTCTGTACATTGAGGGTTGGGTGGAAATGTTACAGGTACATGGATCAGGAAGAACAGCTTTTAGACCCCAATAGCCAACCTCTGACCAACTCACATGGGGTCAAAATGACCATGAGACCTTTATGGGTAATATCTCACCTGACTCAGGCTCCTGCCTCTCAATACCACAGAGGTTTTACTTTTCTCTGTTGCAGAAGCAGGTTTTCTTTCATTTTCCTGAGAAAGGATCTAATGATCTAGCCCAGGCTAATCTCAAACCCACTGGGCATAGCCCAAGATGCCCTACCCCTTGACTTAAACGTTTTGTTCTATTTTATTTATTCTTTTGCTTTTTTTGTTTGTTTTGTTTTTTTAAGACAGGGTTTCTCTGTGTAGCCTTGGCTGTCCTGGACTTGCTTTGTAGAACAGGCTGGACTTGAACTCACAGAGATCAACCTGTCTCTGCCTCCCAGAGTCCTGGGTTTAGAGACATGCGCTACTTAGCCCAGCATTTTTTGCTTTTTCAGGGCAGGGTTGCTCTGTGTAGCTCCGGATGTCCTAGAACTTGATTTTGTAGGCCAGGCTGGCCTCGAACCCAGAGATCTGCCTGTCTCAGCTTCCTGAGTGCTGGGATTAAAGGCGTGTACCAGTATGTCTGCCCTGGGGAATGGGTTTCTACTTCTGAACCCATTCATCAACTCAGCACCCTGGATGCAGGGAGGAGAGGCTGGACAGACAGATGAGTGGCTCGAATCACAAACTATCTAAGCTTTAGAAAGAGGAGAGCCAGCTGAGCCAGCCTCACAGCCCGCTCTGGGCAGGTCCTCTGCAGAAACTGCAGGCTATACAGGGTGGTTTGGAGGCTGAAGTTAAGGACCCAAAGAACAAGTCAACCTGGGTTTTTACTGGTTCAGTATGTAGTTCAGGGCTGGACATGCAAATGGTTATTCGATCTTGATTTCTTCAAGAAGAAGGGGGATAGCATTTAGATGAAAGTCAGGCACCCCACATTTTTATCTTTTACCCCCAGGGAAGCAGCTGTGTCTCCTGGAAGCCTGGAGGCCTCTGGGTAGCACAAGACTGACAGAAGCCTGAGTTTTCTATGACCACAGTGCTGGGCTGCAGGATCAGCCCGCTGGTATGCCACAGGGCAGGCCTCGGCCACCTCCCTCTGGCCCTGGCTTGGTGGGGAGGGCTGAGGGAACTCACCTTCACACTGCCTCCCTTCCCCCTTGTAGCCGGGCTTGCAGAGACATTTGTAAGACTTGGGTGTGTTCTGGCAGATGGCATCTATGTGGCAGTCATCTGTGCCCTCTGAGCACTCATCCACGTCCACAGCTCCTGTGGGGGGAGGGGAAACTGCAGGTGAAGCTTGCCAGGAAGACATCTGAGACCTTGCCGGAAGTTCATGCCTCCATCCTACCACTCGGGTAATGAACATTAACAGTCACATGGCAGTTTGGTGTAACAAGGGGCAATTGGTAGCATCCTTGAGGCAGCTTCTCTGTGCCAGGCACACGTCACTACACATCTGGTCTTTATTTTCATAACAGCCCCATTGGGTATGGTCATTATCCTCTCTCAAGATATGGAGAAACTGAAGGCTAGGAACACCAGAAAGAAAAACCTCTTTGTGGATCTTGGTTTCCCCACAGGCATTGCTCCAACCCTCCACGCTCCTCATTCCAAAAGAGTTCTAGGAAGAACTTTAGTCCAGTTCCTCTGGGTTGCAGATGAGGAAACTAAGGCAGAATGGTGTCCAAGTATCGAGCAGAGGCCATTCCCAAGGAGGCTGCAGGTCACCTGGATGTGAGACCCCAAGATGGTGGAACCTAGGATCCAATCCAGAGTAAGAACCATAGACCTGCCTTTCCCTCTGCTAACCCAGGCCCCTGCCTCAGAAAGCCAGTTCTTACAGCTCAGCTTCTAGATCCCAGCACCATCCAGGCTCAGAGGGCTCTGGTGTGCACCCTGCCTCCTGTTTGAAGCCATGGCTGCATGATGAAAAAGGCCCTCTCCACACACACCTGTTCTCTCTCTTCCTGCCCCCTCAGTCGGTTGCTCCATCTGAGTTTACTCAGGGAACAGCCGGAACTTTAGGTTTAGATGGGGGAATCTGAGGCCAGTGATACATGACACAGGACTAGACTCCATCATGGAACCAGCTCGTCTGGGCGTCACCCTCCTTCTAGCTGGCTGTGACCACCACGCAGATGGACAGGCAGAAGGACTCAGGTGAGGAGACAAGGGACTCTCAGCAGCTGCCCTGAGGCCAGTCCCCCTGGGAGGCTCCAAATGTCCCTGTCTCCTCATCCATCTGGCCTCACCCTACACTTCATGGTACCCAGTAATGTCCGCTTTGAATTCATCCTCTGGCTGGACACTGGGCTCTCACTCTGTGCCCCACCCCACCCCACCCCAGACTTCCTCACTTCCAGCTCCAAGCTATCACCAGCTCACCAGAGGGGAGAGAGGCTTTGGAAAGAAACACAGCAGATCTTCCCCTGCAGACACGTGCACACGCAAAACACCGACACACAAACAAGTGTGCGGTCCACCTATCGCTACAGCTGCCCAAAGGCCTTAGGCAAGAGCTAAGAGGCAGGCAGTGGAGTAGGACAGAGTACACGCCAAGGCCAGCTGGGAGGTTGGGAGGGAGGGGCTCTCTGGGGAGCTGGCTACAGAAGGACCACTACTTCAAGGGCAGGACACCAGAGAGAGGGCCTGACCACATGGGGCACCACTAAGAGAGAATCATCTTCCCCCTTCCCATGAGTTAGGTCATAAGACTGAGGGACAGAAAGTTTCCTGGCGGGGAGGGGGGTTGTCTGAGGTCCTACCTAGGTAGGCAGGATGGACACACAGAAGTTGGGAAGGGGTGGTTGGGAAGGCTGTCTGCCTTTCAAATCATAAACTTGGCCTGGGGACAGGGAGTCTGGCTGAGCCAGGCTGCAGATCCCTCGCAACCCTCAGATACAGGCTGCTCACTCCAGCCCTGGGCTTCTGAGATCAAACGCTGGGGTTCTATAGTTAGCAGGCTTCCAAAGAGATAAAGAGGAGGCAGAGGCAGATAGACACCAGGAGCGACAGAGAGGAAGGGAGAGGCACACGGGACAGTCCCACAAAGGTGAAGGAGCCCAAAGCCTAAGGGAAATGCTCAGTGACATGGCTAGTGCCCTCAGCTAGAGCCAGATTCTGGAATAGGGGCATGGAAGAAAACTCGGCACCCGTGGTGAGGTGGCACGGACCAGCATAAACTCCCCGGCTCGGGATCTGCTGTGGAACTCTCACAATCAGACCCCACTCCTGAGACTCGGTGGAGCGAGTGCAAGGCAGGACCCTTCCCACCCTCTCCAAGGAGAGCAAGGAACAGTGCACTGGAGATGTGAAAAGAGGCTCCGCGTGCAGGCTCTGCCTGGCAGCTCCTTCCAGGAAACTCCGATCACGAAGAGACACCCCCACCTAGCAGTTCCTTCTGCCCCCGACCAAAGGCTGGCTTCCTCCTGTGCCTCCTGCCCCCTCCCTCCCATGTCTTCCACAGGCAAGTCCTAGTTTGTTCTGCTATTCGTGTTCCCATCCACCTCCTTCCCTGCGTCTGTCCGTCTCTTCTCCCCCTCCGGTCTGACAGTCCATCTGTCCATCTCTTCCCAGACATCTCCATCCTTCCTCTCCCTCGGTCCCCTCCCTCGGCGCCGCCCCTCCGAATCCTCCCGTCTCTCTGTCTGGTGTCCATCTGTCTCCTCCTCTCCGTCCTTTGATGTGCCTCTCTCCTTCCCGCTGTCCACTGCCTCCTCGCTCCCCTCCCTTGCCTCCTCTCCCCTCTTCCCTCCCGCGGCTGTCTTTCTCAGGGCTTCTTCCTGGGCCCTTTTGTCTGTTCCCTCTGCGCCTCGGCTCCTGTCCGTCTGTCCCTCCATCTCCCCGTCTCCCCTCCATTCTCAGCGCGTCCTTCCTGGTCACCTCCGGGTATCTCCTATGCAGCAGTTGCGGAGTCCTCGGCCCTGGGGGAGAGCCGCTTTCGGCTCGGGGGGTCCCCGCCGGTCTCTGTACGCATGCCGGGCCCCGCAGGCGGCCGTCGCGCTTCCTTTCTTTCTCCGGCCTCCCGCTTCCCCTCCCGGGGCCTCAGCCCACCCCGCCCCCGCCGGCCCCGGGCGCCCCGGGAGCTCGCAGAAGTTACTTTGCAAGGAGGCAGGACCCGGCACGGGGCGGCCTCCGACGGCGCGGAGTGGTAAGGATCCCCGCGCTCCCGCAGCCCCCCGGGTCCCCGCGCTTACCTGGGAGCCCGCTGCCCACCACCAGCCGCCCGCGCGCTCCCAGAACGAGCAGCACGCACAAGTGCCAGCGCGCGGCCGCCGCGCCCATGCTCGCCGCGGGCCGCGCCGGGTGCGGGCGTGCGGGGTGCGGGACGCACGGAGCGGTTGCTCCGCGAGCGCTCCCGTCTGCAGCGAGCTCGGCTACCGCTCGGGCTCCGGAGACACCCAGCCGGCGCGCAGGACTAGCTGACAGCCGCGCGCTCATTGGCCCGCGGCCTCGGGGGGCGGAGCTCCGCGGGAGGCCGTCCAGTGGGCGGCGGGTGGCGTGGCCTGCGGGCGTCTGGGCCCGCCCCCTTCCCCGGGGCGGGCGGCAGGTGGGGGGTGGGAGCTGGGGTCGCCGTGCAGGGTGTCACCCGGGCCCGGGCTGGTACTGGGCTTCAGTTCCCCACTCCCGCTCTGTGCCCTGGGTCACCGAGGTCCGGGATGGCTGTTCCTCCGGAGCAGCACCCTCAGCCCCGCGCACACCCGATCGGGGGAGTAGAGGTGAAGAAAGGCCGGGAGGCACCCAGGGGCGGTGAAGGCGATGCTTAGCGCACGCAGCCGATCCCTAAGCATTTCTTGAGCCCCCTACAGGGTGTCAAGCTGCCCGGGGAGCTGCAAACTAGCCGGCGTGGAAAACTCTCGAAGTCAGTTTTAGAATTTACACACAAAACCAAAGGAACATGGTCAGAGGAGTGTTTGTCTTGAACACTCGCTCGCGTCGCGCCTAGAACCGTGCTCTAGGGGAGTGGACGCGGCGCGACCTGGCCGGGTTGAGTGGCCTCACTGTCCCCAGGCGCTTGTTGCTCCGGTCCTCGGGTGACAGGCCCGGCGGGTCGGGTAGCCGCTGCAGCGTAGCGTCGCGGTCACCCTGGCCCAGATCCTCCCCCATCCCGGGGTCTACACCTGACCCCTCGGCCTTGGGGCCTGGCGGGCACTCAATGGCCGCTCTCAGCTCGGGAGGCAGGACGCTGAAGAAGTTTAACAAACCCCAAGTCCCATCTCCTTGACAACCACCAATAAGAACTCCTGTTTTCTCCTGCTCTCCAGACTCAAAGACTTTTTTTCTCTTTTTGTCCACTCTGCCTGTGCGCTGTTGCGCCCAGCGGCTCCCCTCCACGCCGGCTCTCTTCCTCCCTGCCCCCAACGCACACTTCTGCAGCCACCTCCAAGGCCCCAGAAGGCTAAATTCAAGTGTCTCAGCGCCTGCTGCCAGCCAGACTTCCCGTGGGCTTACGGCAGTGGGTTGGAGGCTGAGGCAAGGGAGCCATGCCCACGGTATGCAGAAAGGATTAGGGAGGAAGAAGCGGGACCCTGGCCTCTATTGCATCCTCATCTCCTACCCTGCTACACGGCACGCCTTTTCTTTCCCTGGTTGCTCCGGGCCATGTAGTTCAATTCGGGAGACATTGTTACCTTGGCTCATTTTGGCTTCTCTCAGCTGTACAGCTCTGGGATTTTTTTTTTTTTTTCCTGTCTGTGCAAACATCTATTTTGTGAGAAGTGTTTTCAAGGGGGTTTCTCAGCACAATGTTTTTTTCACATGTCTTCCTCAGGGGCTTCCATTCCCACTCAGGTGTCCCTAAACTCGGTAGCAGCCATGAGACAGTCCAGGTTCCATCTCTCAACATTAAGGTGGATGGAGACTGGGAATGGCTTGGGGTTCCCAACAGTCTCCAGGGACCCCCACTAATATGAAAATTTTATTTGCAGTAATCTCTACCTCAGTAACCATGAAGGCCAAGTTTGCCGATGGCCTAACACGCCTCAAGTGTGCAAAAATAAGTGGCCCCCTCTAGGAGACCATGGCACATGTGAGCGTGCAGAATCCAGGGGGATGGGGAGGTAATGGGGGAATGTGTCTCTAAGTTCCTGACCAAGGAGATGGTTTATAGGGTGGGTTAGGCAGGGGGCCGGCACTCTGACGCCAGGACTAAGGACGTCTTGACACACCTCCGTGCTGAGCTGAGGGAGTGGAGGGCATTGGTTTGGGAAGCAGACTGGGTCATGCCCAAGTCACCCATGTGTGCTCTTCGTGTCATCCCGGGCACCTGTGCCCTCCTCTGAGGTCCTCTCTAGACCAACCACAGGCAAGGCAGCCTGTCAGGCGGGGAGCCTCTTGTGTCCTGAGCCCAATGTCACACTGCCAGGCCAGCCTCTGTTCCTTCCTGCCCCATAAACTGGGGTGCAAGACCTCCTTCAGGCTCAGAAAACGAAAGTCTCCGCTCTCATCCCCAGTTTCCCGTTTTCACCCAAAATGGGATTTCGAGGGCCTTGTCTGTGACCGCAGTTCCCAAAGGGAGCTGAAGCCATTATTATCAAGTGACTGTGCAGGAATGAATGAATGAATGAATGAATGAATGAATGAATGAATGAGTAAGTGAACAAATGGTCACAGAAATGAGACAGAACCCAGCTGCGAACTCCTATTGCTCCATTGAGGTGACTTGGCTGCGCCAGGTCCTTGATCATGAAGCCAGCTGTTGTCTGTCCTAAACAGTCCACTTTCTGTGCCCCGTGGGGAAGCTAGGCTGGTCAGCAGAACCCCAAATCTGAAGTGCCCAGAGCTGACTCCCAGGGACTTGGGGCTCTTTGGCTCCCTCTGGTGACAGTTCTCAATGGTGTTTGCCTGACAGGAGGCAAGGAATTAGCCAGCTGCCCTCTTCCTTATAGGCATGTCCCTGTGTCCCAACCTCGCCTCTTAATGGCAGGAAAGTCGTGGCCAGGGCTCAGATCACAATCTCAGGGCTGACCAGCCCGGTAACGGTGTCCCCATCATGGAGGCCTCGGCAGCCTGGATTCCTCAGCCTGAGCCAGCTCTTAGAGTTGCTGGGAGGATAAAAGCGGGCAAGCATGACCTGGGACCTCTCTGAACCTCAGTCTTTTCAGTAACAGAAGAGTGATGCGGGTGCTTTCTTGGGAGGATTAAGTGAGATGCTGACCCCAAAGCCCTCAAAAAGCACGGCATGTAGAGGTTTTCCTGCGCCTGTTAGTAAAAATACTCCTGCTGGTCTGAATGGTAGCAAAGCCACCCGTTATAAATACCTTATTTCGGACTTTTGTTTTTCTATCTTGTTTTTTTCTTTCAAGACAGGGTTTCTCCGTGTAGCCTTGGCTGTCCTGGACTCTCTTTGTAGACCAGGCTGGCCTCGAACTCACAGAGGTCTACCTGCCCCTGCTTTCTAGTTTGGACATTTTCAATCAGGAAGGGTTCTCTGGGTTAGCTGTGAAAGCTCTTTGGGATGCAGAGTTCTCTGCGACCCTGAAATGTCATTACACAGATCACATGCCTCTGCGTGGATAACCTTCAGGACTTTTGCACTTTTTTTTCTCCCTAAGAAAAAGAAAATCACCTAATTCCTCCTGCTGCTCTATGTGACCCTTTGTTCTTCCATGCTAGCCTTCCTGAATTTCCATGTGAGGTCCCGGGTCATACCAGTTCTTTTCTTGGGCTGGGCTGTCAGGTGAAGTCTCAGTCTTCAGGCACCTGTGATACAGACTCTGAGATGTCCCAGAATTGTGACCCAGTGTCTTTTTCCCCTCCCACCTAGGATAACTATAGATAACATTTGTTGGGCATCCCTGGGTACCTGATGTGTTCCTGGGACATCAGTGAATCCTGCCATCTACTCCCAGGATGCAGAAATTGCTGCCATCCCCACTGGACACTTGAGAAAATGGATCTGAGGCTGCCTGTCCAGGATCACAGAGCTAGCAAATGTCAGAGGTGGGATTTGAACCTGGTTCTTTACAGCTTGTTCATAAAACACAGAAATCAAAGGGCAGAGAGGCACCATGGCACTATTCACTGTAAGGCTTCGGGGTTTTCTGGTTTTGTCCCAATATTGACAAGAGGGATTTTCATATGGTGCCTAAATCATAGCACTGTGCAAACAATCTACCTGCCTGACTTAGGTCTCATCCAGTTTTACCATTCTGCCCCTTTCTTTCCCCAAACTGTTGAAATATTTGGAACCATCCCTGCCACTCTTGGGAGGCAGAGGAGACAGGATGATACCCAAAGGGCTTCTCAGAAACCCCTAAGTGGAGGGGACCAGCGTTCATCATGGCACTTGGGGGGCAGGGGTACAGAGCCTGTGCGGGGGCACTCATGAACCTGACTTATGGCTTTAGGTTCATGGACAGACAGGAGGACAGGAGAGCTGAAATCACAACCCAGAGAAAGCCCAGCCTGGGCTCATCCGACATCTGGAGAAACTGAGACCCAGCCCTACTAATCCCTATTCACTAGTCATGTCCACACATCTCAGAATATCAGACTACACACACACACACACACACACACACACACACACACACACACACACACTGAACGAGACTGCACCCATGGCCTCTCCTCTCCCTCCTTTGACCACTGGCTTTCTGGCGGGGATGCCCAGGATCACACCTGCCAGGCACTTGAAGCCAAGACTGCCCTGCTCAGCCACTGCTCATAGTGGGGGACCTGTCCACAAAGCCCTCCCTTTGCATGCCAACCCGTGGCCACCCAGCCAGATGGGTTCTCTGCATCTGCAGGTGTGCTTGAGACCCTCCAAGGCCCAGTGACCCAGCCTATCACAGGGACGCCCTGGTCTCTTTGCTGATAGCCAGAAATAACTGTCGTGGGCAGTTATTTATTTATTTATTTATTTATTTTTTAAGTATCCTTGTTTGTTGTTTCTCGTTCATATTGTATTTACCCAGACCCCAAATTCCATGATTTCTCCAAGCACCTAAGGGAATTGGAAAGTGACAATGAGGCTTTGCTGAGAATTGGAGGTGGATGGTGCGTGTGTGCGCGCCTGTGTAAGGACTTGCTAACGGGCAACAACTCACTTGAACTTTAAAGACAATGGCATTATGGGCCATATCGTCCTGCACACCCAATCCCTTGGGCTTTTGTTTCTTCTCTGGGACTCTGGCCCCAGATCATCGACTCCACAGAACCATCAGGTAGGTAATAACTGTCATCAAACCATTGATTTTTTTTTTTTTTAGGGTGGCCTTCATTCAGTCATTCAACAAAGCACCCAGTGCTTGCTAGACCCTATTCTGATCTTCGCTTCTGCCTTGCAGGAGCTCTCGGTCTAGTGGGGGATGGGAGTTAAGAAGATAGTATTGTCTTGAAGAG